CTGAGCTCAGTTGAGGAAAGCAAACGTATATTCCTCCAACACTGTATAGGGAACTCGTGAGCTCAGTTGAGGAAAGCAAACGTATATTCCTCCAACACTGTATAGGGAACTCCTGAGCTCAGTTGAGGAAAGCAAACGTATATTCCTCCAACACTGTATAGGGAACTCCTGAGCTCAGCTGAGGAAAGCAAACGTATATTCCTCCAACACTGTATAGGAAGCTCCTGAGCTCGGCTGAGGGAAGCGGACATATATTCCTACTCCAATACTGTATGGCTACTTCGATCATATACGTGATACTGACAGTAACGAGAAGAATCTCAATATATCTGGTACTTCAACTTCACACACTGCATCACATCTCAGGTAGATAATGGACTGCTCAAGCTGATAAAAAGTGCTGGGAATAATAGACTATCACTAGATGGAATTTGCAACAGCACTACTACAGCTTAGGTTGGAACACACCACTGGACGAGCGCAACACAACTGGTTATCAAAAAATGTTACATTTCACATAAAACAGTCAAGACGAGAATTTCATCATCGCTCCTACAGCAGCAACTATGAGGACGATGAGAGCAACGATGACCGTTGGACTCATACCTGATTGACACAAGATGTAAAATACCATTACGGAATGAAGTATTCTCACCATTCCCGTCATTTTTGAAGGAATTATTGTGAATGTTATGTCTGGCTCGAAGTTGGCTGGCAGTTAGATCGGAATCAGGCGCAGAGCCTCCGGGACCGTAACGGCGTCGGAGCTCGCCAGCTGTCATACTGTCGTCCATTTTACGACGAAAAATATAATAAGTCTTGAGCCAGCTGAATACTATTGAATCTACTCACATTGAGTCCCCACAAAACGGCTGCAATGTGGGAAACTCAAGCTAGCTAGGCCGAGATGGCTCCGCACACACAATTTAGTGGCCAACAGAAAGATAACAACATTATCAGTTACAAGGTTGTAAAACGGGTGAAACTCTAATGATCCATCTTTCTCGACTTGTGCTTCTTTTCAGGTTTGATTTTGGTTCAAATTTACGCACAACTTCTCAAGTTACCCGTCAGTTTACGAGAACTTGCTCAGTTCTAACCTAAGATCTCACTTGAGCTCATTCTTGAGGTTGGTTCCCTTACACTCAAGGCTGAGGGACTAGTGAAACGTACTTACAGTTT